TTTCTTTTAGGAAGATCCATAAGGTGTTTATAGGTGTACCTTGGGTTGAAAGAAACTAAATATGTTTTTTTATTCCAGTCTTCTCAAAGCCTGACAATGTGCTAAAGTGTAGTGTAACTTTCCAAGGCGGTACTTACTATATGGAGTTTCCCAGATTTTCTTGATCATACCCCACTATTTTGTGAAGCATCTTCTTACAGGGTGAGATAGCGTGGTCATGTAGAAAAGGCTGCCCTAGAGGATAAAATTCAGCTTCCTCTTCCTGGCCTTGGTGTTCCAACCACAATATTAACTTGACTTGAAAAATGTTTCCCTGCCCTACCCATCCACCTCCCCTCCCCATTAGTGCAGCTTGTTGCTGTTAACATGGCTCCTCTCTGCTCATTGTGCACCCAGGTCCACCTCCCTCAAAATAAACTGCCTTCTTCTTCACCCAACTTTTGTCAAATCATACTCCACTCTCCAAGATCCAACTTGAAATTCTTATTACAACCAAGAAAACATTTTATTTTACCTTTTCAGTTCACATAGATCTCTCATTTTATGGTCCTTTAGCTCTATCACTCAATTAGATGAAGTGGATATTGGAATCTAAAGACCTTGCTTCAAGTCCCAGCTTTGAATCCACAATCTACACAACCCTGGACAGTTGGCTTTTTTAAGTCTCAGCTTTCTCATCTGTAAAAAAGGAATACTGTTCCTTCAGAAGCTGAATCTATTTTTCCTTTAAGAAGTAGTGAAAAGGAGCACAAATGTGGAGAGAAGGCATTTTTGCAGAAACCCTCTGTCCTAGTCTTGGGTCATGCTCTTTCCAGCACTCTCCATGGCATCAGTCTGAACCTGACTCTTCTTGACCCTTACTAAGAACATGTCTGGGGATTATGTTCCCCACCCCCTCTTCCTCTCCACCCCTAACTACTCCACCCCCTCTTGATCAAGACAATCTGCAGCTCAGCCTGACTGCGTCCCTCACAGCCCCAGGTTTTGACTGGATCCCTTGATCACCTTCTCACCTCAGCTGGCCCTCAGGGAAGGTGGCAGAGCATATTTTCCAGCACGGTGGTGCAGACCAGTGAGATGAAGCCTCTGGAAGTACAACTGAGATGTCATCGTTGCCTTTGTTCTATTCCATCCTGGGTCTCTTGTTATCTCACATGGGCATGGAATCTCTTTATCTCTGTTTCACTGTGGCTGGTACAGAGAAGAGGCTCAATAAGCGTCGCTGACAAAGTGATGATGTAAGGAGGACTTTGGGCATAAAGGAAAGCCTCCCCATCTGCATTCCTTGAGGAACATTCTCTGACCCCACTCCAAACTAGATAAGGCACCCCAGGTGGGCTCCCATGGTTCTTGATCTTTTCTTTCGGGGTGCTCCTGACTACCGCATACCAAGGTTCAGGGATCATCTGCCCAGCTGGTGGTCAGCTTCAGGATGACCAAGCCTGCCTTGTCCACCTGTGTCCCAGGGCCTGGCACAGAGCTGACCCTCAATAAATATTTGTCCAAAGAACAAATGAATGAAAAATGAAATGCTCTTGGATAAAATTAATGTAGAGGTCATTCCATCTGCAATATTTATTTAAGGCCTACACTTTTGCATCTCCTGAAAAGTAAACTCCACCAAGACCTTATTTCCTTTAGGTCCTTCAGACTTTTGCTCCAGGCAAGAGTTTAAAGGGATCAAGGACGAAAGTCAGATAGACTTGAATTTGAATCTTCTCCTCCACTTATTACTCTGTGAACTTGGGAAAGTTATCTAACCTCTCTTTGCCAGTTTCCTCATCTGTAAAATGGGAGTTATAATCCTAACCTTTCAGGGTGATTGAGAGGAATAAATACCATAACGCATGTACAATCATTGGCATAGAGCCTGGCATATGATAATCCAATAAATGGTAGATGTTGCTGTTGTTCAATTCTTGTGAGTAACTTGTCTCCAGCCTCAAAGAGTTTACAGCCTAGTGGAGGAGACACAGAGCGCCTTAGCACCCTCATCACCACGTGGGTCCTCATACACTTCATACACCTACCTCATGCTCAACCGTAACCAACCCAGCAACCTGAACTTTCTTTGGACTCCTCTAGGGTCATGTTCAATGTCCACCATGGAAAAGGAACTGACCCTACTCCATTTGGCACGTACCCTTTAGAGCCCCTTGAAACTCCAACTCCCCAGCTGTGATCCTAGTAAAGCCACTTTCTCTATTCTCCTTTCTGGTTTCTGTTTCCATGCTTATGAAATGGTGCTAATGATGCATATCTCATCGGGCTGCAGCAAAGATTAAATTAAATGACAGCATTCATGAAAAGGCCTTTTGTAGAGTAGGTGTATCATAACTGTTAGTTGCCTCCACTTCTTAACGCACCTTCCCCTCCCCCACACCCTGCCCACATCCTTCCTCTGCTTCCCCTACATGCAGGAAGCAGTCCTTAGCAGAGGCCCTGCCCCCTGGGGCTGGGATTTCATTCTGGCCTCTGTACAAGAATGCCATGCGCTGTCCAAATGTCCTTGTGAGTTTCTGAATCCTACAGGAGATACAAAGATTCTTCTTTGGAGGATTCTCTCAGCTTCCTGGACCCTCGGCAAAGGGGCCAAATGCAGTCCTCCTTTTCCCCTAGGGGCCGACTTCCTTCTTCCCCTGTTCAGCCAAGCACGGTGGTGCCTGCTCCTAGAGCCTGCAGTCAGGAGGAAGCAGCCGGCTTGCTCTCTCTGCACCCCACTAGACCCCTTTCTGGCTCTCAGAGCCAGCAGTGCCCTTTTCCAAAGATCCAAAAGCCCCCTCCACTGGAAACACCCCCTTTGGTGCCCCTTCTCCAGGTCTTCTAAATCTAGAGCCTCATTTCTCTATCCCCTCAGTGAGACCACTCAGCTCTCCTCACCTGCAGAGTATGGAGAGGAGAGAAGTATTGTCTTCCTTCTCCCAGCCTTTTTATTTCTGGTTTCAGTAGTGGCTCTTCAGCCTTTCTTACTGTATGTCCTTGAGACTCTCAAGGTCCTGAAGAAACAGTTGGGAAGAGATGGAGGAAGGTACAGACAACTAATGGCAATATAACAACATTTGATTCTCTTACGCGTTCATATGGTAGTGCCTCCTGAGGAGGGGAGTGATGTTGTGGAATAAGGAGGCTAATAGCCTGAGGGGGAGTGAGAAGCTGAAGCACACACTCCAGTGGGTGGAGGCTGCATGGGGCAGGGGTGAGAGGGAAACCAGAGGTGGTTCTGAGGAGGGGCAGCAGAGACCAGAAATATCGATGGGGATTTAAGTTGTCTGCTGTAGAGTCCGCGTTGGCCCTTTCCAAATTTTCAGTAAAATCTACACTGCTTACCAAAGTGCTTATGCAAATGGATTCTTTCTTGGGAACTCCCATAGGGGCTGAATTCTGCTGCTGGGTTAGTGCAGGACAACAATAAAGAGTGCCTGAGAAGAGGCAGGAACCGGAGGACGAAGAGATCCTCTACACCTGGCTTCCAATGTGACAACATCTACAATAATGAGGAAAGGAGTCAGGGACATGGCTGATTCCTTAAGGCTGTTCAATAATAAATTCAACACGCTCTGTAGAGTCACCTACCTTCCTGGCAGGCATGAAAAACATCACAGTGCCTGTTTTCATGGAGAAGATGATCTAAGGGAAAAAACAAATATGCAAACACCCAACTTGAATCCAAATACAGTTAGGCTGGGTATAATTGTCCCCTTGAATGTGCCCATGGAAGAACTCTTGATTCCATGCAGTCAATCCTAAGAGCCCAGCTCTGTATCCAACGACGGAATTGAGCTTTGGTTGTTCCCCACAACCATGTTTTCTCCATTCCTAGCACATCCATCAAGGAAATGAATCAAAGAAGGCCCAGTAAAGCAGGTGATTGGCAGGTTGGAAAGGATGCTGGGAGAGGGCGTGGTTGGCCTGCCCATGGAGGAGCTGATTGCTGAGGGAGAAGGAATGAGGTGAAGCCACGTGTGTGAGACTCAGCTGCGTATTGATCAAGCTCATTTGCACGTGAACCTCATCATCAGCTCCTGCTTAAGCCCTCACTTCCCCGGTAATTGACTCTCGCATATTGATTAAGATGTTGATGTGTCCCAGGATTTCTCGGTGATACAGGCTCGCCTCCCGGCAGGCAGGGCTGGCAAAGCTCTCACTGTACGGCTGTCACCACACGCTCCTTAATGGATAAAGCTGTCATCTGAGAGCTGGAATGTCTTGCAGGCACAAAGACGAAATTAACTGTTCAATAATGTATGGGACATGGAAAAAACTTTACCCAACAACTCGAATTGATTGCTGTAAGTGTTTTGACTGCACTTGCCTGTTTTGCATAAAGTCAGCTACTTTGGCTAGCCTGTTTTTCACACACAGCCATTTCTCGGTCTCTTTCAGAGTAAGTTGAGAGCCTTCGGCGGCTGCCAGGAATGGGCTGTCTGGAAGGAAGGGGGGTTGGGGGGTGGGGAGCAGGTGGGCACCGCTGACGTCTCTCCCTCGGGATCCTTGAGTGATCCCTGGTCTTTAAAGCAATGTGTTACCGGCAGTTCTGTGGAATCTTGCTGGAAGTGATCATCTCCCATGAGTGGGGTGAATCACTGGGTATGGGATTCCTGGACTCAGTGACCTCATTTTGCCCATGGCTCTCCTCTTCTTCCCCTTCATTATGCTGACGCCTCTCACAGAGAGAGACTGTCAGTCAGACCTATGAGGGGAGAGGGCAAGTGGGTCACACATTTAACACCAGTTTGATAAACAATTCCCACATCATTTAAATTAGGCATTGCTTATTATTGGGGATTTGGTTAAAAACATACTCTCTACCTATCCCACAGGTACTAGAAACCACTGTGCATTTCTCCCCTAGCCTGCTCCCTTTCAAACTTGGAAAAGGGGAAAAATGTCAAGGTAGCAAACCTATACTCCACATCTTTTCTGCCAAGCTCAGCCTTTTAAAAACATAACAAGATCCTTTGAACATAGCTCTGTTTTATCACAGGATCTTTATTGAAGTTTTAATCAACACAAGCAGCTGACAAAATAGGAGATTGCAGATTCGGCTGTACGTTATGTATCCTCCTTGTGAGTCCGAAAAAAGAATCATAACATTAAAAGAAGAGAAAATAAACAGCCTCGTTTAAAAAACAAATGAATTCCACCAAACCAAGGAAATCCTCTCGCACCCAGAGGAAGGCCTGCCGTGTGGCATGCCGACGGCGGCTCCAGAGTTTGGAGCCTCATGGAGATCATTACCATAAAACAAATAACCATCTCCTTTTTGTTGCCCACTATGAGTGAACTCAAAACCTCAGGCCTGCGTCCAAAGATTCCTTCTCCACAGGCCCAGCCAGCTATGGATCAGGCTGACACCTCTACGGGAGGGAAGGAGGGCGTGGCCCCTGTGTCCAAATCCTGATCCTTTTCTCCATCCAGCCACTGTGCTTTGGCCTGAGGCCTCCTCTGGTCACCATTGCCTCCATCTATCTCCCTTACCAGCTTCCTTTTTTCCCTTACCCAAGGATGGGACCCACACTCACCAGGCTGAGTTCCTCCACTTACTGTATAAGAGAGCAATAAATGAGGAGAGAGGAACGCTCTTCTCTTTCCATCGTCATCCAGGTACCTTTTTGAAGCCAGGCTGCTGTCTTGCACTCCAAGAAGGGCATCCCCTAGGTCTGCATAGCTATTTCATTTCAAAAGTGATGCGTGGGAACCACTGAAGCAAGTGGTCCTGGTGGATGAAGCTCATTTGTCAAGACTCCTGCATTTATGGCCAATGCTACTTCTATCTTCACTGAGATGGGAAGTAAGTGCCAGAGCAAGGGGGCTCAGTGTTGATGGAGAACCAGACTCTCCCGTTGGTTAGACCTGGATTTGAATCTGCTTTGCCTCTTAAAATGTGTGGCCCCATCACCCAGTAGGGTTACTAAATATGGACAAAAGGAATGAACGAGGAGGAGGAAGATGGTGAGGATGAGATGCAGATGGAGTACCCAAGCAAAGAGGGGATGCAAAGTACCAAAAAGATCACCTGGATTATGACCCCTTAGGAAACTTTCTTGAAGCAATACTTTAACCGGTTGTGAAATAACAGATAAATACCCATTGGCAGGGAAGCTTTGAAAACTTAAGGTATGACTAATCAAGATGTGACAAGAGGATTGGCCTGAGGGTCCTCAGGGATTCTGGAGAGTTGGATGGGGCCAGTGGCAATGTCAGAGGGTCTTTAATGCCAGATGGGGCCTGGGAGTGAGCATCGCACTACTGAATAGGAGAGTGGCAGGATCTGTCCTTTGGGAATGATTACTGGACCATAATGGAATAATGATGAGTGGGCCCCAAGGAGCCGGGACACATGATCTGTCCAGGGTGGCCACCCTGGTGTGGAGTAACAAGGGACAGGGCTAAGGCTCTGGGTATCAGGATAGAGAAAAGGGACAATATTGGCAGGTCTTGGAGGACACTGCCCAGCCATGCTTATCCTACCAATATTGTGGTGGCATTCATATCAGAGTTTCTGTCTTGGAATAAAGACTTTCCAGGAAGCTTCTCTGGAAGTTGTTTCTGTGCCTTTTATCACTTTGCAACCAGATTCAGAGAACTGGGTCACTACGCTAAGACTTCATCCCATCGTCCTTCCCCCTCTCTTGCTTCCTCAGATATTCATCCCATCCATGCTCTGGCAGGTAGTGGGCATACAAAGATGCAAGGCACCAGGTCCTTCTTCCCAAGTATTCTCAGCCCATGGCAGAGAGACAACTGATACCCAGATAAGGCCAAAGTGCTGAGGAGGCCAAGGAGGCCACAACGTGACCAACTCAAATGAGAAGCATGGTTCATAGGAGACCTCTGGATGGGTCAAATGAACATGGGAACTTGACCTCTCCAGCAAAGTAAAAGAGAGCTTACAAACCTTACTCATTGCAATTGGATGAGAGAAAGATGGGAGAAAGGAAAGGAAATCCACAGAAGGGCATGGCTGGGTCTGACCAGGCACCTGGTTTGGTAGAAAAACCAGGCTGGCCCAGCAACGGCACAGCAAGTGTGTGCTCAGGTTTTCAAGAGTCAGCACCCCGGATGGGGGTAGGAGATTCCTGGAAAGACTCCACAGTTATTCTGGTCACCTTTAGTTTCTAGACTTCCCGAAGTACAGAGAGTACTTGCCCCTTGACCGAAGGGAAGAGTAATAAATTAAGACAGAACTGCAATTTATCCTCAAAGGTAACTAGGGGGAATTGTCCCAGAGCCTGGGTGACCAAAAGCCAACTCCCCAAATCTGTCTCAAGGCAATCATGGTAAGTGATTTGCAGTGGTGGGAGTAGAAATGATTTATTCTGAGGACCCTGTCAGTACCGCTGTGAAATCATTTGTATTTTGTTATGGGACATGAGTGGGCTAGATGTTCCCCAAACTACATTTCTTCGCTTCGGCCCCCATGCCTTTTTCACAACTGGTTATTTCAGGTGACAATTAACAGGAAATGATGGGAAGAGACCCAAGGTGGTCAGTTTTCCGAGGAACTGTGGATATTAAGTTTCAATAACTTATAGTCTCTGATCCAGGTCTCCAAAAGGAAATGAGCTGCTTCTGTAGTTGTCACAGAAAATCAGCTTCTTTTTTTCTCCCTCCCATTCCCTGCTTTGTGAATTTTCAGGAAGTTAACCCAAGAGTTAAACCAAAGGTTCTCTGGGGTCTCATCTGTAAGAAACACATCTATTTCGTCCACAATCCAGACTCTAAAAGACTAAAGTAGGAAACCAAAACAATCAGAAGCAAATAATAAAGCCGAATGAAATAGCATTTATTTGCCTGTTTCCCTTCAAGATGTGAATCCTGTGTTACTGAGAATGCTCCAGGCAGGGCCTCAGATAGAAGTGTAAGAGTCCCCAGAATTTTCCTGCCCTGGTGGATGACGGGCTCGTTCACTGTCTTCTGAGAAACCTTGCTTCAGGTCCACAGAATAGGATGTGTTGGCTTCCAGCGCGAGGGAGCAAACGGGGGTCCAGCCCAGACAGGCCGACTGTGCAGGCTTTCTGTTGACTGCTGCTGCCATGGCTGGCGTGGCGCTCCTCTGCTGCCTCTGCTAAGACAGCAAGCCGGGTCTGTTTGAAGTCTGGTCTTTGGGAAGGAGACCCAAGAGAACATGAGCTGGGCTTGTCTGGATATCAAAGTCCAAATTAAAAATTTATTCCAGTGTTTGAAAAATTCCTGGCCAAAACCTTCCTCTGGATTAAAAAATACAGTCGTCCTTGTTTCTTCAGTGTTTCCAATGGAAGACTAGAGGATTTATTCTGAAAAAGAAAAAATAAAAGCGAGGCCAAAGAGTTCCATAAATGGACTCGGGTCAGACGGCTTCTTAGCTAAATCCATAAGGAAAGGAATCTGTTAAACCATTTTGGGTAGCTGGGAAGCACTTATTTTAGTTATCATTTTTGAATCTTCCTTTTTTTCCCTTTCCTATTGCATGTCAGATCACCTCCAGGTCTTTACCGCTGGAGCTGGAGGGTAAAGAACAAAAAAGAGCTTCTCCTCTTTTACACACCCCCAACTTCACCCCGCTGGATGAAAAGGTAGAGATAAAGCCTTTTGTAAAAAGTTGTGGGTTTAAGGGGGGAAATGGTGGCCAAGCAAATAATCTAATAGTAATTATGAAATTATAGATAACAAGAACATACACATCATTAGGCAAGAACAGGGAAAAATTAAATGAGAAAGGCGTGAACTTTTAAACAATAAATTTAAATCAAGGTCATTAACAAAATTTTTAGAAGAAATAGAACTAGCCTGATATGAGGCATTGTTAGTGAAATATTGAAACAGAAGTTGAGGATGAGAAATCAGCTCCTAGGGCAGAATACCTAGACCAAGGAGCAAGATCGCTATCTCAAGTTCAGATTGAGAGCAAAGGGCGGAATAGAGAAAAGTGATAGAACCATGTCCACAGACAGAAGCAATGGAAACTCTGAGTGGAGACAGCACCAGAACTACAAGGACATAAAGGAATCTGCACAGGATAAGTGCTAGGACTCAAATGTATTTACATGGATCCTCCAGTCCGAGGTTTTTGCTATTGTTGCTTTATAAGCTTTGTCATTTGAAGTATAACTTATACACCCATCATTAGTGCACAGTTTGATGGATATCTCTGAGTAGACACACCCATGTGACCACCATTCAGATCTGCCCATGGAACATTACCATTACCCCAAAGCTACCATCTTTACCCCCACTCTCCAATGTGACCTCTCTTCAGATATCCTTCAGCATTGATTAGTTAGTTGTGCTTGTTTTTGAAGGTCACAAAGAGTCACGCAACTTTTTAAATTTCTTTTTTATATCTTCTTTCATTCCACATTATATTTATGATTTTTATCCATGTTGTGGCGTGTAGTGGTAGTTCGTTCATTTTCATTGCTATATAGTACCCCATTGTATGAATATACCATTATCTATACCATTCCACTTTTGAGAGACACTTGTGTTGTTTCGAGCCTTTGGCTAGTAGAAAATAGCACTGCTAAGAATATTCTTATGCATATCGTTTGAGGCACTTGTGTACACATTTCTGTGGGTATACGTCTGAGAGAATGGTTGGGTCTAGGGTATGCTTATGTTTAGCTTTAGTAGCTACTGCAAAAACAGTTATTCTAAGCAGTTGTACCTGTTGACAGTCCAGCTGACAGAATGTGAGAGTTCCTGTTGCTTCACGTCCACACCAATACTCAGCACTGTCAATTTATCTTAAATTTTACACATTTAGTGGATTTTAATTTTGCATGCCTAACTTTGCATCTTTTCATAAATTTGTTATCGTTAGATGTGTTTGTGAAGTAACTGTTCAATTCTTTTTTCATTTTTAACATACTGTATGTCTTGTTGTTGCATAAGAAATCTTTAAATATTCTAGATACAAGTCCTTTCTCTGATGTATTTTTGGAAATATCCTCTCCTACTCTATGACTTGCCCTTTAATTCTCTTAATTGTATGGTTGTACTTTTTCTTTTCTTCTCTTTTTTTTCCTAAGAAGAACTTCTTAATTTTAATAAGAACAATTTATCAATCTGTTGTTTTATGGCTAGTGAATTTTACA